ATAGATAGATAGATAGATAGATAGATAGATAGATAGATAGATAGATAGATAGATAGATAGAATATAAGCTATTTAGATTTAGACTGAATATCTTGATCTGAATTTAAAGTTTAAGACATTATTTAACAGAAAAATGTGCTTGTAAACTTCTGTCGGTCATTTAAAGTCTACTCCTTTTTATATCTCTATTTTACAGGTAAACAACCTTGCATTAAAATAAGAAGGAACTAATTATAACGTTCTTACATGGTAATCTTTTAGTCATTGTTTGCAAGCCTTTAATTCTAATTTTCCTTACCTGGAAATCAAACCCATGCATGTTAATGCCTAACTAAAGCTTTTATTTCCATTAAACAGCACCTTTTTTTTATTTACAAACGAAATACAAGGTATTTTATCATATTAGATATTATGTAGTGGGTATGTCTGTTGTTTAACCTTTGTTTACAATTATTTCACTATAAATAGAGCACTTCCTGTTGCCAGATCTAGCTGGGAATAAATCGCATCATGCATGTGTAACCTTTATTTATCTAGGTAGTTATTATTTTTTGATAAAAAACAAAAACTAGAATGATTATTGGAATTTTGCTGAAGTCATCATTCTCCATCATCCCTTATCATTAGATTTTTAAACAGTGGTAATATCTTAAATGGAGCTTGGCTTTGAAACAGTATCCTAAACTTAGAACATCTCAATGAACACATATTAGGATAAATTGTGTCACAACTGCAAACTCTCCTTGGATTTGACAACTACCTAACCTGGCAGGTAAGAAGACTAATAAGTAAGGGAAGTTACAACAGGTTACTTTCCTGATTACTTGGATAAATCTATAAATGAAAAATGAAAAAGAACTGAAAACCATAAAAAGTATTATTTGCAGCACAAGCTCAGGACAGGCCAGAGCAGAAAGCAGGAAGAAGGTGCTCTCATCAGGTAAGACCAGAAAACCCACACAAAAAAACTTTGAAACCTCCTTACAAAACACTAGGTCCTCTATTATATAAAATATTCTTTGCAGGTGCTTTTTAACAGCGTGGAGAATCACTGAAATGATTAAGCAAAATATGGTTCTACTAAGTAATATGTCAACAAGCTGAATACAAATTCTCACCATGCTTTATAAAATGTATTGCAAAATGATTTCAATTCCACATTTAATTCCCTTCCACTTGAGAATTGAAGTACTTTGTATTGTTCTAGAAAATGGGATTCTGGTTAATTACAATTGAATTTTTGGTTCCAAAAGGTACAAATTTGAAAAAACGTATTGAGTGTAAGTAATTATTTTATTTATAAGGAAATATGGGGGTCTAATTAAAGCAACCACAACTCATTCATCCCTGCCGCAACCAGGCTCTACAATTCGACACTACAATAGCAGTAACTTGTGCAATGTATAATGTGCAATTGCTATTTGATACCCTGTGCAATAACCTGTTCCTCTATATCTGACACCCAGTGAAATACTATATATATAAATATAGATATCAGTCTATATAAATACCCATGCAAACACCCTGTGCAATAACCCTGTATAATAATCCTACAAAAACAAAGCTGTCATATATGGACTCACTGTATATACTGTATATATCCCATGCATCTTTTTCTTCCTTGGGCACATTCTTCTCCTTTGACCATTTGACCTTATGTAACGAGCAAATTACTCCACTGTGAGATCCATCAAGTAAATCAATCTATCAATTAATCAATCAATAAATAAATCAAATGCCTGCCCAAGAGTTTAGCGTCTTAAATAAAATTGAAACTTTACCTGAGATCATTCTCATTTACATCAATCACAGGTATATATTCTTTATAATATTGCTACAAAAAAACACCAAGTAGAACAGAAGCATTTAGACTTTTTAAATATTTAATAATTTATAACGGATAAAGAAAACATAACACTGCACAGGAAAAAATGACAAAAGTCAATCATTACATAAACACATGCATTTTTCTCTGCCAAAAAAAGAGCTGTCATATGAATGCCTTATTGAGCTTAAATTGGTATCCTGGCCAACCAACATCACAATCACACACACACATCCGCTGTCCTTCTACATTTACTATAAACACAAATAAAAGAGCAGGAAACACCTGGTTTGAATGTCAACATATGACTGTTATGTATTTTAAATAGTTATTTACAATAAGGGTTTCTGCATGAAGTTTGCATGTATCCATGTGAGAATATGAGCAGAGGTCTAAGTGCATGCTACTATAAGTTGTGTTGGACTGGTAACCACTTCTAGTGGTTTGGAGACCTTAATCAACAGCAATAAGAGGTATATATGGATAGATAGTCAAGGAGACGTGTTTCTCATTAATGCAGAGTCTAAAGAATCGTCCTTAGTCTGCTTCTCTACTAGTGTCCAAAACTTTGGCTCTTCTCCTTTTTCCTGTCGCCTGTGTCCCTGCCAACACCAGTGCTGCTCCCTGTCTTGCTTTTGTCTCTCTGGGACATCCCATCTGCGCTGCAGACAAAGACATATCAACACAAGTCAATGCAAGTTATCACAAAAAAATTATTGCTCCTTCATATTTTTTTTGTCATATACTTTTACCTTTGTATATTAGTTGGTCTATTTTCCTTGATGAGGTTGTTGAGCTTGTAATAATCCAGGAAGGTTCGAGCCACATTTCTACCAAGTTTCATATCTTAAATAAGGGAATTAAGGATTTTTCTACTTCTTAAACTGAAGATTTAAAGCCAAACCAGGAGGGAAACACATGATGAAATGGAAAATGTGGAGTAAGTATTATGGTTTTTATTGTGGTACAAAAAAAAATAAAAAAATCTGTATTGCAAATTATAGTTCTTAAAATATCATGCAAGGTGAAGGGTCTCTTGTTGTAAAGCCATAGAAAAACTCTTTTCTGCCTAATTTCGCTGGCACCCAAAATCCAACCAAGCCTTTTAGCATATTATAGTTGAGTGTTTTAATTTTTATCACTTGTAGCCTTCCCTTTGTTTGCCTGACCGCTCTTGGCAGGAGACAGCTGTTTCACTTAAAACGCTTCAGAGCAATACCTCCCAGACTTAACATCAGCTGGCAAACATTTCAAAGCATAACAACTCTCTTATCCCCGGGAAGAACAAAATGACTGGATTAACACATGCACTTTTTTCAGAAGGACAAGTCAGAATGGGCCAATTTAACCCTTTTACCATTTATCAGTCAGACATTGCCTGTAATCAACAACTGCTACTAGTTTTTAGCAATAGATTGAGCAATCATCCCAAACAACTTATTTAGATCTACTGACAGACAATCAGTGTTGTTTTTGACAGCCTTCTTAGAGTTAGTCGTCAGGAAGAAAACTATTATTAGTTTTAGTAACATTTTAGTCATTAGGACATGTGATAGCTTTAGTCGGTTTTAGTCGACTAAAACTTAAAAAGGTTTTAGTCTAGTTTTATGTTGCAAAAAAGGTTAACCTTTACAATTTCGAATAACCAGATTCTTTACCAGACTGACACCTCTTGCCTAGATACTACAATTGCTGGGTATAGAATGCTGCCATGCAAATGATCATTGCTGATGGGCGGAAAACTTTGATTTATATAATTCAAATAAACTTTTTTATGAATTGGATCTAGTTCAATGCATCATTTTGGTTGAATAGCAGACAGACAAGCTAAAAAAATTACAATAAAGGAATGGTTTTACACATACAAGGTTACCATTCAAAAGCAAACACTTCTTGGTCTACTATGAATTATGCATTACACACAGATCAATAAAATCTTCATATCTCCAAAAGAAGCAAAGAACAGAAACATTATTCCTTCTACTTTGGCAATTTGGCTTTATTTCTTCAATTTGCCCCTTGGTTTCTGCAGCTCAAGGGTCAAAGTAGACTTAAATTCAAAGGGTTTTGATATAAAAAATAAAAGAATACAGGGAGAACCTACATAATTGCCTTGTAATGCAATGGCAATCCAGACCTAAACTGAATGACTATGCCAACTAAAAGGTTTACATATCTAAAGGAAACATAGAAAAAATTAAATGACAATACAAGGAAACATTTACATCATATTTAAATAGACACAAATGAGAACAATGAGAGAGAATTATTTAAAGATCTATGTACCTTTTTACCTGGCTCTTTATCCAAAAATAAACAGTATGAAGTGAAATATTTTCTTTGGATAAAATTTAGGGATTCTTTTTGGTAGAAATGAAAGAATGTTTAGCATCACTTCCTGTGAGCTGGAAGAAATAAAATCGCTTGGCAGAAGGTGATAGGCCACATATAGTTTATTAAGTAGCAAGAGCCATACTGCTGAGAGCGAACCACCAGAATGAGGCGAGAAGCACAAGCACGGCTGGAAAAGCAGAGTTTGTCAGAGGTAAGCCTTCAGTACTGGACGATTCTGGTTTATTTTATCCCCTGCTGCTGCTGCCACGTTCCATCTATGTTCATGCAAAATCTGTACTGCTGCACACCAGGTGGGCAGCAGTGCGACCAAACAAAACGCAGCTGCACGGCTGATACTGCTTAGCTTGTCTAACAGATAACAGCAGAATGATACATTTTAAACATCTGCCCGACCACAAGCTATTTTTTTTATTTAGTCTCGCCGACAAAAAATTACACCTATGGCTCGTCATGTTTTCGTCATCAAAGATCCATCCAAGGGGCATCAATGAAATAAATTCGAAAACAACACTGCAGACAATAAGGATAGATTTTTGAATAATTCCACATAGTGCATGTCAACATGTGGTTTCAAATGCACAAGCAAGAAAGCAAGGACTTTTCCTCTCACCGGTGTCGATCAATGCACAACTGGACATGTCATCAAGACAGCAAGCGAAACTGAAAAAAATTTAAAAAACTGATCACATCAAATGGCTGCAAGCACACATCTGACTGTTAGACCGAAACAACATACC